TGCTAACATGTTTTCTTTATGCAGCATCGTAATGTGTTTCAACTGTCCTCAATTTTATATGAACTTCAATCAATTTATTTATTGTCATATCTACCAGAACACAATATCTCTTAATCCCAGCATCAATCGACATACTATGAATACGTTTGAACGTCAGTGATGATTATTGATTATATATTTTGCATCAGTGATATTCGATTTGAATTCCCATGAGATAAATGACAAGCGTATGTGTTAAATTATTGAAAGCAAAGAAACAATGGAATATAGGCTAACACATTTATACATTTATATGATGAATAATATAATTTGATGTATATCATTCAAGCATATTTGCGACATTCTAATCTATATACAGTGAATCGCTAATAAAGCCATATTTTTAACAGAATTTTTGAAGCGGGATTTTTTCCCGAAAGAACGATTCAATTCTTTCACTGCAATGAGTTCACAAATATTCAGTATATACCGGGTTTAAATTTATAAATTACTATAGTACTATTCTACGTATATTTTTATTAGTTTCACTGGAACCAATCACAAGAAATTTATCTTTTTTTTTGGTTTTAATCATGCTCCAGCCTATTACTTTAAACAAAAATCAATTTCTCTTCTATTGATATAAAGTTTTTTCCTAGATCACGTTTCCGAAATTGCGCAGCGTGTAAATTGGAAAATGATTTATTCTTTAAACATGTCACGTTCATTACATTCTTTCTTGCAAAAGAAATTTCAGAAAATTAACTTTGGGAACTAAAGTTCGATGTTCGAATCTTGTCATGAAAATTATTTGCTGAAACAGAAGTTTGAAAATTAAAGCCATAACTTGAAAAATTAATGTCAGATCCCTTGGAACCATAATAAAATTTTACACCGAATATTTTCCAAGCAGCCATTTCAGTTATTCACCATATTTATGTAAAGCTAACAAAACTTTGAGTGCATGCACAATACCTCATAGCAGTCATAAAATTATAGAAACCACTTCGTTAAAATTGTTTTACTCAGGTCAACGGTTTTCTTACCGAGACATGCCGTATATTATGGGGATACGAAATAAATAAAAAATCAGATCAGAGAAAACAGGCATTCCGTGTAACAAGAGGTATTTTTCGCATTTATTATTGTTATTATTGACAATATATTGGCATGACAGTTTTCCATAAATTTAAGGCGCAGCTGAACTTAATGGCGTAAAATTTGAATTGTACCAAATCAATCTGAAAATTACATGCCCATTGCCGCGAGTATTTCTGAAATAAATACATTCCTTTGAACATCCTGTCAATATTTCAGCATAATCCAGCTAAAAATAAACAATGGATATGCGATAGCTTTAAAATTTGAGAAAGAAAATCAGCATTTTTTCAACGTTTCTAGACATATAGACCTTATCTTTGCTCGGATCATGGATAAGCTCATGATCTGAATCTAAAGTTGAATACAAAATAAATGAGTAAAAGCTTAAAATAAAAAGGGCGATTGGAAATCTATTTGCTTTATCTCTCATAGCCGTCGATTGCAAATAAGAAGTTGAAGTGAAAAAAAGCGAACACGCAAAGACAAAAAATGCAAAAGGAAGCGAAAAAATATCGATTTGAATTTTGCTGACTCTTTTTTCATGTATTCAGATTTCAATAAGTTGCAATTTACAGCCTCTGTCAGTGAAAGGAGGAAATAACCGTTAAATTGGAAAAAGCGTTGAAAAAAAACTAACGAGCAATCGAATCTGCTTAACCCTCGACAATGTTTCGTAGAACAAAAAAGCGATACATAATTTGAAGCGAGTACATGTCGATGAAACAAGAAAATGAAAAGAAGCAAAAACGGAATAAGCCGACCGAAACAAAAAAAATGGCAAATTCTATGTAAAAACCAACAAGAATCAGTGCAGTGAACCTTCAAATGATAATCGATATGTATAAATAGCATTTCAAAGTAGTGAGACCGATAGAGAGTTTCAATTTCGATTCGGTATATTTTTGCCGGAAAATGGATTTTTCATGTGTTCATTTAACGAGTTTTTTTTTGTGTTTCGTTTTACCTAACATGCTGTCTCTCGTTCACTCTATTCGTATACAACGTGGGGTTTTGATACATTTTTTTATGCTTTATGTATATAGAGCATTTAGTTGAAGCATTTTCCAGTAATTTATCTCTATTTAAAAGAGCTTAAATCTCAATTAGAACAAGCACATTTTGTGTGCATGCAACATTGGCCATGGCACTAGTATTTTGGGTTTCTTCCATAAAATGTGCCGTTCTGTTAAATCGTCGACGGTTTGATGATTTTTGTTTATATGTCAAGTTTGAGAACTCTTATCTTTCGCGGTTCTTAATTTGCTTGTGTCAAACATAAAATGAGTTTACCAGTTTCAATCGTTTTTCGTGTCATTTCAAGAATGAAATTTTGAAGTGGTCGTGAAATTGCGTCACGTTTCCTGAACGAACCGACAAACAAATTAAAATTTCTTCGCTAAGAAAATGCCCCGTTCAAAAGAAATAAATTGTTTATGTATTCCTCATTAAATAGAAAATTGGAATACGAAACTTAAGTTCAACGCTTAAGCACTTGAATATTAACAAATTGTGTCTATACCATTTGCAATTAACGCAGCATGTTTAAGGCAAATTAAATTGATATCAATCAAACTTCCCTTTTCCCATCGGAATACATTCTTAAACGGCGACCTGATACGCAGCATTTAGGGCGACAAATTCAAAAGCAATTCGAAGTTTTATCTTGTTGTTTGCATCAAAAGTCAGCAAATGAGTGAAACGTCTATCGAGGACGATGGTGAGAAAATACATTTCATAAAGATCATAAAGTCCACAGATAGGAATCTAAACGAGCTCAAATTGAAGTTCAGCCATTTTGGATAAGTTAACGAGACTACAATATCGTTAAGGGTCACACCTTCGAGGGATCATCATGCAGCTATTCAAAAATTCTATTATACGCGAAATACAAGTACGAACGAAAGAAAACGAAAGAAGTGTAATTTAAATTTATGCCGACGATATTTTGTATTGAATGCGATACAGAGTCGCTTCAAATGCCAGCTGAATATAAGCATGTAGAGTGACAGTAAACACTTACCTAACGCAATATAATACCTCTTTGAGTACATAATAAACGCACGGCAAAATCACGGTATTGTTGATAGCAAAGTAAAAGAACGTGTAAATATACCTTTTCTCTCTTTGTGAGCCGAAACAAACAATTGAATACTCTTAACAGGCTAAATTACAGACGTTCGTACGACGTCTATGGCGCAATCAGAAAATCTGCGTTTCGATAAAACACTACATTTTCATCCATTCAAAAGGAGAACAATAGAATGAAAAGAAAAATAGCAAAGTCTTGGTCCTCCATTTTTTTTCCTATGTGTGTGTGTGTATGTTGAGTGTAGCATTTTCATTTCCATACGGTCTTTTGTTTTAGCCACCTCTTTTTGTCCCTATATTTATTCTATTTCTTATTATGATTATTATAATAACTTTTTTCCTTGCAAACACGTCGATAGCATAGAAAAGGAACTTTTACAAGTGAATGGGCACGGGTACGCTTACAAGCACATGATCCAACAAAAAAATGAGATTTTCTATTTCATAGCATCTCATCATCAACATCGCCAATGCCGGCAGCAATATGTACAGCCACGTACACTAACTGAAAGATAACGAGAGTGCGAAAAAAAACAAAAGCAACAAAAGAAAAATCGCTCATTCGAACACATGCACATTCATATGGATTAGATGAGAAGGTTTTGCTTCAGTTGAACGTTCTAATGAAATATGTATAGACATTTTACTTATATACGCGATGTTGTATCAATGTTTCGCGTGAGATTTTGTGCGGTGGAATGTAATGAAATGAAACGATACGAACCAAGGGAATTGAGCTTGTTCTTTATCCGATCGTAAATATGAACCAAAAGAGAAGAAAAAAAATGGCACACTGTAACGTCGATACTTGAAGTCACAGCACATAACAAGACAGTGGCATATAAGCAGTGAAGCGTTCGAGGTTTATTATATATTTCTACATATTTGCTCAGTTCAAAAGATTGTGAATAATATCTGGAAATATTCACCTTTATGTGATTGTACACTTTCTAGCAATTCCGTACGGTGACACAGTGTGAGTTGCTTGATTTATTTGCACAGAATAAAGATGAAGGGAGAAAATGCGCATAATAATCAGCTTCCAGTCCCCAACAGTTACAATTTTCTTCGATTTCTATACAAAAAAAAAACTTGGTGACAATGATGCTATTGGAAATAATATCATTGATCTGTGACGATACGCAAAGTGAAAAAGAGTTCCAAGTAGATATTCGGTGTTCGTTTAAAACGAGACAAAGTTGAAATTAATTCAGAGTTTGGACAAATCGACTATGTCAAACGTCGAATTTTGTAATTCAGTCGTAAAAGTGGATAACAATTTCATTTGTATTCATCACATATATTCTCTGGAAAACTAAACACATTTTTGGGTTCATTTCAACCATCTATACAGAAATGTGTGTTTTGTTTTTATGAAAAAAAGGAGCACAAGTTTCATCGAGCATATCGACAATGGCCGAGCCAAACCATAGGTAAACCAACACCGAAATATGTTGCACAAGATGGCATTGTGGAGCACACAAAATGCTGCATGAACAAAAAATTGCTGGCATTTTATCATGGAATTAAGTTTGTGCGTCATTTACGGTACTTCAATTAAATCCTTTAGAATGGAACGATTATTAGCAGAAAGCTTAACGTTGTGTCTGCATTGAGATTTTTGTTCCACTTCGTGCAGATTATAACAATGGAAACGGTTTTAACCTGTGCATTTAATGGGCACATGTAATCGTGTAACCAAAAACTGCATTTAAAGCACTACAAATTTCTAGTACTCGAATATACGTATATACATATATGCCAGTTTCATAGTAATTAAATGTTTATTCTTTTTTTTATAAAAAAAATTATCTCTATGTCTCTTCTCTTACCTTTGATGCTGTATGCTCCCAGAAGCATCATCATCACAGCTATAATTATGTTGATAATTTCACGATGCAGGCGCGTCCCAGAATTTCCATTGGAGTGCTTGTGCTGTTGTGGTTGCTGATGCTGAAACGTTGCCGGCGATAAAATTTTTGGTACTACGTAGTTCAATGTCATTATGGCTGCTATTATGTTTGAAAGATATATATGTATTTTGTGTGTGCGTGTGTGTAGAATTCAGAGCCCAGAAATATGGTGGCAATAATATCACTGTGTGCTACGCGCGTTTGATATTATTTTCTGTGTCGAACTGTGTTTTATTTATGTTTTGTTACACGAATATGATGTTGTCCTTAAGCGCCAATAACGAACACATGGATTTTATTACATTTCACCCAAAATAATAAACTTTTTTTTAAAATGATTTAAAACATAACATTATTTTCGTATTGCAAAATGTTCTTTGTGTCGTGATTGCTATATAGACGTACATCATTTTCTTTTTTTTTTGTATTTTAATTTACTATTTTGGCACGAATGAGTTCATATCATAACTTTTGATGGTGTACAATTAGTAATTTTCAGTCTTTCAGTAATCATGTTATGCTGAGCGATAATTTAAATTAGTTTTCATCGTTTGTTTTACACTTGTTACTTTGATTGCTTACTTGATACGGTTACTGAGTTTATGGTAGTAAATTTAAAATAGACATTTCCATCGACAATTTGATTGATATGCCGCACTGCTCACAGTTTCCCAGAGGAAACGTGATTGATGCTTTTTTTTCGCTTGATAAAGTTTTTAATTTCGATGCGGTTTATTTGTCACGATGTATGTAACATAAATCAAATCTCCAGATAAAATACATCCAGTTGGTGAAGACGTGCAAGCACTGTTTTCTCCAGACCTACGTGATACCAGAGAAAAAGAGAATACAACAAAAGCACATTATAAATTTATACATTATATATATATTGTTTCAGTGGCTTTAATCGACGTTTGCGTGCAAGTTTAGCTATGTTTGCTTTTTGAATAGCAAGTAATTAAAAGTAGATTCTATTTCATTGTTTATTTCTTTTGTATGGGGTTTAATTGCAATTTATTCTCATTAAACGTTTTACTTCAATTCATGGATGTTTTATTCTTTCAAAATAAGTTCAAAGTAAAATAATTTATTACCTTCGAAGTTCTATTCATACAAGGTAATCCGTTTAATTGGGGAATGGAACAAAACTTTCATTCTTCAATGGGAATTTTTCTTTCCAAAACTGATGCAAACTTTCTCACTAATAGTTTGAGAATTTGCATAAATTCTTTACATGATCTCAATATTCGACGAAAATAAAATTATTAGAATTAGATTAGTTTTCGCACAATAAAAGGTGTATATAAACCTCTTTGAAGAAATTTCTATTCATTTTTGGGCGTATATTAAATTCATTTATTCATAGAAAAGAGAAAGAATTTTTCTTTACATATTTTTTTTGCGGCACGTTTTTACATGATTTTACGTTTATTCCTTCCTTTGTAAACCTTAAATGCAAAAGCTTTATCTGTTACTGAATTATATTTGCGACGTTTGAAAATGTTGGCCGATGCGGACAGTATTGCTCTTTATATTTTCAAATCGTGTATTTAGAGTCTACAAATCTTTTGTTATTCATTCATGGTTGAATTGCGACTTTGTGAACCTACCACAACAAATAAAGGATTGGCTGCAAAAACGAACGGTGTGTAACTGCAAATATGGGCTTTTGTTTCTTTTTGCCACCAGCTTTACATTCTCTCTTTGGCATGAAAGCATTTGCGATTATGGAATCCATTGGCGCACACACCCACACCCACAAGAAGATACGATATTGTCGCATTGGAGTTAGAGAAGGAGCTTAAAATAAAGAGTTCAACTTAGTTGAATCAACTATAATTCTTCAAACAAACAAACAAGTGTGTAACGATAATACTTATGAATGCAAATTATTGTATATACAGTCAGCCTGAAAAATATTCAACTAACTGCAATTTATTTAAATACAAAAACAGCTCATGAATGATGCTTTCATTTCTTTAACATCAAAGTTCTTCTGTAATCGAAACTCAAACACAAAATCACTCATGGACCTCAAATTTTGACAATTGGATGGGAGGATTGTAGGAGGGGTTGAAAGTAACCGAACACTTTCTGGACTGACTGTATGTATAGTACATTGAATATATTTGCAGATTTTTAAGTGTTTACTGCACATTCAACTCATATAACTGTCGCCGTTCTCTCTTCAATTCTTCATTTTCTTTGTTATGATGTTGCCATTGAATGAATTCATGGCATGAATTTTCTCGAATTACATACGCCAGTTTATTGTCTGTCTTTGTTGGAAACTTTTTGTTTAATCGCCACTATAATAACAACAATAATAATTCGTCATTTGTGGTGAATCGGTCTTGAACCATAACAACTATTGTGTTCGGAACTTGACTTTGGATGTCTGATGATGGAAATGGATCTTATGTTTTTCATTTCTCTTTTTCATCAATTCTCTCAAATATATTTTTTTTCGCGCAATTTTATTGTTTTTTGTTTTGTTTGGATTTTTAGCATTTCATAGCCGTTGATTGCTGGTATATTTAACGGAAATAATAATACCAACAAGTACGTGAGAGAAAAGAGCTTTTGAACATCGTCGTTCCATTGTTTTATTTTCTTCCCCTTGCAACTTCTATTTTCATTAGTTTTTATATTCAACATAAATACACTTTAAATAGATGTGGTTGAAGTGTGCGTTGAACCTCTACTCTGTGTTTGGTGAAATCGTTGTGGAAAATCTCTCAACTCAATCGGTGCCAGACAATAGAATATTCAGTCTTTTGTAATGTTTAAGTGCATAAAACTTGACGGAGGGCTTAGCTTACACATTGAGGCAACGAAAAAAAATATTTAAGCTGTTCAATTGATGTAGTTGGTCGTATCGATTATGCATGAGTCGAGAAATTTTCAACACATACGTCTGTTTGTATTTCCGCCAAAAAAGTTATATTTTTAACTTTTGCAAAAGTGTAATCAATTATTCAGCATTATTTTTCAAAAGTTTATAATTATTTTTTGAATTGGAAAGATTTTAATTGAATCGGTTATAATCAACCCATTATTGATTATCCCATATTTAAATGTTCGATGATGTAAGTTTTTTGTTTGCATTTTCTTAATTAAAATTTTGAATGGAGATCAATATGAGATAAAATTTATTATTTACAATAATGGAAATTTTTCTCGATACTTGGTTACCAAACAAAGACTCGAGATCATTAAATATGCTGAAGATATTTTCCAAAACTTTTATCTTTTATATGCACTGAATTGATTGTTTAAAGTACTACTGACAACTTATGTTTTTAAGGAGAGTTCACCCTTCATTGGACCGGTTCAAAAAACGATACTTTTATCTCCTGCGGATTCAGAAAGTATATGCAATGAAAAATGTTTTAGACATTTTCGCCTTATTCTGAAAGGTCTGGGAAGATGTGAAGTTCTAGATTTGGACAGAACTTTTTTTCAGTATCCTCGTGCTAAAAATATCTTTTTTGAGCCAGTATACTACAATGTATAATATATACATAATATTGATCAAATCGCTGACGTGGTATCTCTATGCAAATAATTGACAAGCATAAAAAAGCAGTGAATTAAATTCATGAGTTTAAAAAAAGCGATTCATGATTCAAAATGAGCATAAAAAATACGATGAAGAATCCATTGATAATAGTATCTAAAGAGAATGACGAAGAAAGACAATAGGATTGTTGGAAACAGAAATCTCCTACTCTCTTCCACACGCAAATAATCCTTAGTGAAATCCCAAGAATGGTTTCCGTCGCATTTTTGTGCTGTTGACAATCACTTGTGTCTGCACTCGAACCGTTCGTTTTTCATGTGACTCGTTAGCTCTTTCATCAAATATTTTCATTTTATTTTAATACATCATGAATTGTTAAAGTGTGTGTAGTAGATGCGTTGCACGTTCTATGCCATTGTGTGTGTATTTGTCTGTGACAACTTAGTTTGCTGACGTTGACAAATCGAATTTCAAGTTCAATGTGAATAAAATGAGGAAATCAAAGTGATTGAATGTTTGATGCAGAAAACCCAACGGAAAAAACTTTCTAAGGGAAACTGGGTGCATTTTTGACTTTTTCATTCTAAAGACATGCCGGGTCACGATACCACTTCTATTTCATCCCCCATTGAACAATATTAAAGTCGTACAAATTATTCTTAGATTATGCAAATGCTATTTCATTTCCCCTTTTGTCAACTTCTATCTTTTTACCACTCGCTTGCGTCTAATGCATTAAGTAACGACGGTAAATAAACTCCTGTTTAACATATGTAAATAGCCAGCAGTTGCTAACTGAAACTTGTGTATGCCATTTCAATGGAGCCGATCGAGTCACTCTATCTTTGTGTTTCTTAGGTAAGTTATTTGAACAGAGAAAATTCAAACGTGCACTTCAAACGATGCTGAAAAGGAATGCAACAATATTGTACGAACCGGAACTCAAACGCAAATTGTGCTCATGTGCATATGCACATATGCATACGATTCGTGCAAACACTTAATCACGAATGTCGCAATAATAGTAAATGTGGTAAGTTGTGCAGCACCACATACATCATAGCTTCCTGCTCCTCCAACGCTCATTATGCTTCTGCACGTACATATTTCCGTCTCGTTATTTTTTGTTGTTGTCCATAGCCTTTTTATTGGTTGTAGCTACACCCAAATAGGAAGTATCTTTAAATTTGTGAATAAAATGTTCAAATTTAACGAAGACATATCTATTTTGTCTCTTATGCATTCCGTTCACATTCAAATTGGTCCTTTTGTGTTAATGCAAAAGCCGAAATCGAATACTGTGACACAATGAAAATAAATCGGAAGTAGAAATGTTAGACTACTTTTGCCCAATAATATTGGATTAATATTGTAGAAAGATGACATATGAATCAACATTGGCATTGGTAAAGTTATTCTTATGGCATTTATTTTCCGCAAAAAAACCCAATTGTGATGTGCCACTACTCTACTGTTGTTGCCATTCACCCGCTGGCTAGGCATCCTTGTGCAAACGTAATAAGTGGAAGCAAGAAATGTGTTCCGACTTTGAATCGGTTATTTTTCTTTTGCCATATTTATCATGTTACAATTTATTTAGTACCGAAGATGTTTGATCGGGAAGAGGAATGAATGTAGAATGATGCTATGCAAACATTTATTCAACGTACCAGCACTGAAAAACATTCCACACAGTTGAATAGTTAAATATGAAAAATGTCGAAAAGAGCTACAAGATTATATAAACCGAATCTGATGTTGTGCTTCTTAAAAGATTCTAATCGAATAAAGATAGACGATTTTTTGACGGATCCTTGGAAATAAATAAGCGTATCGATTTGAAAACAAGTGGATATTTGAGCATCATGAAATCCTTGCTATGTCTTCATTTTTACCGCATTTTCACCCATATATTCGCATAGCACTCGAGCTCACACGAATGTAGCAGACATTCGCTGAACGAATTTTGTTCAATATTATCCTCATTTGTGGTACATGATTTATCCTATCATGTCTTTATTACACGTGTCTCTCGATCCAGTAACAAATGAAATATGTATTTTTTTTTTAAATTATGATTTCGATATTTTATTTATTGGGTTCTCAATGATTCTTGCTTTAATTTCGATTATGATTGAATCATAATTTTTGCGTAGGATGTTTTTTTGACTCCTGACATATTCCAGCCATATTAAATGTTATTAAGTTGAATGGGAAGCCTTAATCTGATTGAGAATCCATCATGTCTGCTAAATTAAATAACTCACAATGTTCGCTTGGGTTACAATTTAATTTATCGACTTATACAACGAATGAATGAAATTCGAAAAAGAGATTTTGGTCTGAAGATAACAGATTCACTGAATGTTGTTGCCACACACATACAAAGTCAAATAGCGAATATGGTTCTTCGAAAACAATAAGCTTTTCGACATTAATCAGGATCTAAGTGTATGAACACTGAACATATGAATTTGTGCTAAATCAAAGTATGATTCACATATAATTAATATCATAACACATCAATTTTTACCGTAAAAATATTTCAATTTTTACTTCAATGTATTTCATTGGCATTTTATTTTTTTAAAAAAATGTGAAATTCCATTAAGAATCAATCAAAATGAATTTATTTCAATTTTCATTGGGTATGACGGCTGTGATTTAAATATATAACAATTTTACTGGTAAAGTTTTTTGCTTAAAAGTTCAACGTATTATACGAACTGCAAACGTGCGGAAAAATAAATTCAATTAAACGTACGCCAACAAACAATATAGCAAAGCTGCGTCATCATTTAAATTCATTTCACTTTTAACCGAGTGACAAGTGGACAGCGAATGGAAATGATTTACGTATTTCATGGAATCATTACATTTGAATTTCGATATAGAATTCAAACGATATTTCTGCAATTATTTTAAGTTTGAAATAATTAAAATTGTTTAAAGAGAGTAAAAAGCGATGTGAATTTTGTTTAAACTTACCATAAAATGAGTAAAATGTTAATTTGAAAACACTGATTATTTATTTAATATAATTTTTCACCGTTCAAATTTCACACCATAAAATCGGTTCTTGTGTATACCCTGTCAACGGTTTTCATATGATAATTGCATCGTTTTGGTATCCGCAAAAACACATTTATTTAATGAACGCTAACATTTCACACTCGAAAGATTGACACACATATGTCATTCACAAAAAAATACTATTAAAAATTTGGAATTTCACTGCTTTTAGTTCGGAAACGCTTTCCTTTTAACATACAATTTATACGTCTGCACGCGTGCACATCATAAATCCAAGTGAAACACTGAATGAAATGGATACAGAATGTATGTGAGGTGTATCCTAAAAATAAGGGGAAATTGCATCCGTACCGAAAGTGAAATCGGAAAATGTCGTGTCGCAATCACATGGCAATTTTTTTATTGCTAGTGTCGAAATACCTTTTTATCAACAAGAGACAAAAATCGTACGTCTGTGTGACATTGTATGCGACTGACAACACATCTAAGTGGAATGGTATTTAACTGATTAAATTTTGTTGACCACACATTTCCATTAACATTCAATCTGTTTGTAAATTTGAAACATTATATTCTTGTATTACTATATTGGTACTTTACAAAATCAATAAAATTGTTCTCTTTAAAAAAACCAGTATATCTGTTATCATTTTGCATTTAATTTCAATTGGATATTACAGCAATACCTACGAAAAGAAAATCAAACGAAGTAAATATCTGGCGTCTCCACACATGAATCATACTTTATTTCCAGCGAATGTGCAAGTTTAAGTTATAATTGAAAAACACACTTTTAAAGATGTAAATTGTTCTGATCGTGACACAGTATATACCATATAAACGTTTTTTTTTCTTTTTTTCGATATTTTCGGGCAGCTAACGTCAGGCGCTGAAGGGATTGTTAAAATGATTTTAAGCATTGGACATTTTTTTATAACTATAACAAGCAATTCTATTCAGCTGGCTGATCTGTCTGTTTGATATCTAAACGCATGACATCACTATTTCTTGCAAACTGCTTTTTTTATATTATACATACGGAAGTAGTTTGGCCTGATAGACCTCTTTTTTTTTTTTTTTTTTTTGTTTATCTGCATATTTAGGTTTAATGATATTTTCAACAACATTGAAACACGTTAATCCAGTTGACGTGAAAGAAGACTTTCATTTAAAATATTTTTTTAGGAATAATAAAATAATAAAATTGGGCTGTTACGACCGACTTTATGAATGCACCTACTTAATTCGTGATTAATTCGTCTTTAAAGAATGTCTAGAAATGCCGCCAATTATCAGTTTATTTAACCCCTTTTTGACTGTGTTTTCTTCCATAATGTAATAAAATATAAATGACAAATGATGGAGCCTGGAGATACTGGAACAAACTTGTCTTGCGGTCAAAATTTACATATTAAATAGCTATAAAGATTGTCTGAAATATTTTTTTTTATTTTAATATGAATTGATATAATTCAATCAATAAAGTCAATAACATTTGGCTAAAACCAGTTTACTCAAAAGTTCTAGATCAAATTCAGCATATTCGCACCACTTGTGCACACGGGCGGGTATTTCAGGACACTCAATTTAGAAGACATTTTTTCTTGGGCTCTATAGTTTACAGAATAATATATTTAAAAAAAAGATTTGTCTTCGATTTGACTCCCATTATCGAAACACATTTCTATCTAGTGTTTTTTGTATTTTTTATTAAACTTGCCAAACTTGTTCAAATACTAAAAGATCATTCTTGCAATTTCAATTCAAAGAACATGAATGGATTCACTTTTAAGTCAGTTTTAATAGAGTAACGCACAAAGCTACATGTGACAAAACTTTTCAATCGCACTTAGAATTTATTTTTGTGTAAAAGGTAAAATCTAACTTGTAACAATTTTCTTTTGTTTAAAATTGATTGCAAATCGGTTCTATCCTCCTGAAATGTGAACTAAAATTATGAAAAAAAGAAAAAAATTAAATATATTTTATTGGTGAAATAAATAAGTATTTTTTTTATAAATATTCCAGAATATTGGTCATTATGATGCTCCAAATTGGATTGACTCTAATAATTTATTCAACAGTGTATATAAATGGTGCAACTATATCGAATTTTATACCATTGCAGCTGTCAATCGAAACACTTGAAAATACACTAACCGATCCTACATACGAATACAATACGAATGAGAACGATCTAAAAAATAATGAACCCAACATTTGCACGACCGATGTTTGTGTGAAAGAGTCTGTACTTATGATGAGTTCACTAGACGAAAGTGTTAATCCGTGTGACGATTTCTATGATTTTGCATGTGGCAACTTTATCAAAAATACTATTATTCGTGAAGAAAAAACAATCGAAATGTCATTCATAGAAGTGCAAGATAAGGTTGACGAGCAATTGCGTAACATGTTAGCGGAAGATCCCCAGCCAAATGAATCAAATGCATTTAAGCTGGCAAAAATATTCAGACTTTCTTGTATCAATGAAACAGCACGAAATGAAATAGGTAAAATACATTTGTTTCTTTGCAAATGGAATTTTTCATTTTATTTTTTTGTAAAAGGCATCACGCCAATTGTGGAGATTCATGAGAAAATCGGCGGTTGGCCCGTTGTTAAAGGTGATTGGGATTCGAAATCATGGGAATGGATGGAAGCTAATAAAATTCTATCGAATGCCGGCTTAAGTGATTCATTCATTTTTCAATTTTATATCACGATTGATTCAAAAGATTCATCAAAACGTGTTATTGCAGTGAGATTAACAACAAACTCCATAAAAATTTAAACTGAACGGATATTAATGTCTTAATCTTGTGACTTCAGGTTAGCCAGCCCAGCTTTGGGATATCACAAAAGTTTTTGTTGCGAGGAATGGAAGACACAAATGTCAAGGCTTATTATGACTTTATGGTTGATGTCGCTGTGATTTTTGGAGCAAATAAAAGAAATGCTGAAATTGAGCTTCTTGATGCGCTTCAATTTGAAATAGAATTAGCAAAGGTGATGTGGTTTTTAATCTTTTGCACATTAAATTTATTTGTTGATAATTATAATTCGTTAGATCTCCTTGCCTGCAGAAGAGCTTCGAAATAGGTCTGCTCTCTACAATCCCCATTCCATTCACCAGCTGCAGTTGTCATACCCGTACATAAACTGGTTGGACTACATTAATTGGAACCTATATGGTGAATTGCATGTTGATGAAACTGAAATTGTAATTATTCTCGATACCAAATATGTCTCTCAAGTGAATGCCGTTCTTGAGTTGACGCCAAAACGAACAATAGCCAATTATTTTGCATGGAAATCGGTATTGAATGAGGCAAAGTTATTGAATAACGCACTTCATCAGCGACGACAAGAATATCTTGCCAAAACAAGTGGTATGCTCAAAGCAGATCCCCGTGACACTGAATGTTTAAAATTGACAATGAGCCAGTGAGATATTTAAATGTTGACATTTTATTTATATTTATTGAGATACGTATCTATTTTTTTATAGTCTACCCATCTCAGTGGCCGCACTCTACGTTCGTAGATATGCTGATGAAGAATCGAAAAAATCAGTAATTGATATGTACAAAAATATTCATGCGGAGTTTATAAAAACATTGAATAAAGTTGAATGGATGGATGATGTGTCAAGGATGATGGCCATAAAAAAAGCAAACCAAATGCAATACCACATCTCTTATCCCGCTGAACTAATCGATGATACAAAATTAGAACAATATTACCAGGGCTTGGAATTAAAACCGGACTCGTTTTTCCATAATGTTCTACGAATTCGTAACTTCAGTACCAAACTTGCGATAAATAAACTACGGAAAAGCGTCAATAAAACAGACTGGGAAACACATTCAATGTCATTCCTTGTCAACGGTTTTTATTCTCCTCCTGAAAATAGCATACGTATGTGAAGAAATTTGTAAAAAAATGAAAAGAAAACACAATTTTTACTCGTACGTTCATTCATTTTCAGAATTGCCTGCAGCTGTGCTCCAAGATCGTTTCTTCTCAGCTGATCGGTGAGTATTTTTTTCATTATAATTTGTTCCATTATATGTTTATTTTTTTTACTTCATTATCAACATAAGACCATCTTATATGAACTACGCAACAATTGGATGGTTTATTGCGCACGAAATAACTCACGGTTAGCTGATTATTTCTCATTATATTATTTTTTTTATTATTGTGGAGTTATTACATAATTAATGAAAAATTTAAATCATGCACTAGGATTCGATGACGAGGGACGACAATTCGATATCAATGGTAACGTAGCGAATTGGTGGGATTTTGAGACTGAACGCAAGTTTTCATCAAAAGCTCAATGTATAATTGATCAGGTACATGGTACACACCTCACGAATTTGCATTGAAATAACTATGAAAATAAAACCATTTCTTTAAAATCTATAGTATTCCAGTTATATCCATCCGGAATTAAATTTAAAAGTAAGTATTTTAAAGGCAAAAATTATGTTAGTTATTTGAGGTTCATTATTCAATTGCTGTCGTTAGGTCAATGGAATAATCACGCAAGGTGAAAATATAGCCGACAATGGTGCAGTGAAGGGAATGTATGCAGCTTATCAAAAGTTTGTCCAGAATAATGGTCCAGAACCTATCTTGCCCACACGATCAAACTATACATCGAACCAATTATTTTGGATTTCAGCCGCACAACTTTGGTAATTGTAATTGATTAGATATCATATTTACCAAAAATTGTATGTGTTAATGCACTGTATAATAGGAAAATTTCATTTTATTTTGTTTTAAATGATAAGGTGCGCGGTGTCACGACCTGAGTTTGATAGAATACAATACACTACAGATGAACATGCTCCAAACAGATACCGTATAATTGGAACGTTCAGCAATATGGAGGACTTTTCACGTGATTTCCACTGTGCGCCCCAAACAAATATGAATCCTGCAAATAAATGCGAAATTTGGTAAAATTATAAATAAAAATATGTTTAAAAAATATGTATAAAATATCACAATTCTTTCAAAGGAAAATAAAAATACTTTTGTTTTGAAATGTTTTTGTACTCTTCTTTGTTTCAATTAATAGAACTAAATTGGGTTTATTAAGTGATTTGGAAATGGCGTGGGCAATTGAGAGATTCATAGTCAGATACACTTGATGTATTGAGATAAAAAACACTTCATTCCATACGAAGCACGCACAGAGACGGAGTTAGTGTTTTTCTGTGTATTGATCCGAATAATTTCACATTTGCCATTGGCATTTTAAGCCACGAAACTGCAGAAAAAAACTTTTACATAGTTATGCATAATAAATGTATAAGAGTAACCAGTGGTTGGATCGTAAAAATACTTATTTCAGATACTTTTCACAAGAAGACAAAATACGCATATTTTGAATTGTTTATTACGTCATTTGACCAAAAAAACTTTACTGCTCTCAGATATTAGAATTTGCTGGACCTAAATCACACTTTGGATTGAAAAAGTTAATTTATTGTTACCACACTGAGGTCATATGCCCTTATTTTTATGATACCCGACCCAACAAACAAAATGCGATAATTAAATTGCAACATTCACGACAAATTTGTAACAGATCACGCGAGACATGTGCGGTTTGGTAAATAAATGCTTTACAGCGCCAAATGCCAAAGTAAAGTCAGCCTCACAGCATAGAAAAGAAGTCTTCACACAGGCGCCATCTATTGTTTGGTTTATGCATGTAATAATTTTGCACGCATTACTATTCAAACGTATTTCTCAATAAATACAATGGTTCGGAAATAGTTTGTTTTAAATATATCTAACATTGGATGAATTATTTGTATTTTTTTCAAAAGAATTGCATACAAAGATTTCGTACTAAAAAAAATTTCAATAAAATATAAATATATGATGCAGAAAAATAGTTCGTAAATAGTTCGTCACAATTATATATAATTTTTATAATTTATGTATTTTTATAAGTTTTTTGGAGGAATGTGAAGGTCTATGTAATCTATGCAAGTGGATGGCTCTAAGAAGAGACACATTGCGAATGGTTTACATTAATGCCATCTGTTGGCTTGGAGAGATGGGAGAGATTGTGACATTTTTGACGTAATGTATTTTACGTATTCATGTTTTTGGCAAGTCATTTGTCAATTTGGAAAGTCCTGTTTCAATATCAATCAAATCACCAACCCATTTGTTAGGTTACATAAAATATTTAAAAACAAACATAAAACAATACACAGCTTTTGGTAAAAAACAAAATAAAGAGATAAAATAAACTTAAAGAATAAATTACTGATAAAAAATATATCAGTCTAATATTTATTTCTCACCATTTTTATAACGCTATTTACAGCGACTTCAAAATGCGAAAAATGACGAAATGTCATAAATCTAAATTGACAAATGACTTGTCAAAAACATGAATACGTAAAATACATTACGTAAATTTGGTTGGAGACGTCGGAGAAAAATAATATTTCATCATT